CTTTACGCTGGGGCTGACCCTAGTCTTAGCACATGAATTCAAATAATATTGCTAGCTGAGTGGGATCCTATTATTGGGATCTCTGCAGGCTTCTGCTTTCTATGTTATCTTACATCAGTGTGCAAGAAAGTCAGAGGGGTTGTTGAAAGTCGGACCTCAAGAGTCCTTGTGAATAATTAGAATTTAAGAAGTTTAAGCAAGTATAAGCATTATTGGTGAGTCCACATTAAGTTGCGTCAGTGCAGGAAAAACAAATTGCTGGATGCTTTCATCAAAGAAACATTTGTTGAACCTATTACAAAGAATGTTTTTTCTTTTTTTGAGTTAATTTTAAATGAAGAAATAGTGTGCAAAGTGCATAGTGTGCAGTGCATGTAAAAAAACCAACCTCAGCTATTTACGTGTATTTACACACATTGACATATATGGTATTGGGTTGTAAATGAACTATTGTGCTCTAGGCAGAGCTCCTGGATTCAGTATATAGAGAGTTCTCAAGAGAATGTCCATTTAATGCTCAGTAAGGGTAATAAGACAAATCTTTCTTTTTATAATATTTGCTTGGAAAGCAAAGCTTTCATCTTGCTGTATATATTGCATGGAGTGTTTTATGTCCTTATCTTAAAATTAATACTTGCAGGAGTATAAGTAATGGCAGTAAAGATGCTGAGAAATACAGAGCATCATCTGTTTGAGGATAGCCTAAATAGATAAGGATACTTTGAGCTTGAAAAGGCAGAAGGGTTAAGTGTGATAAAGATACCTCATACCTTGATAAGTGTAAACAGGTGAGTAGATAATGAGTATTCATTGTTTCTCTGGTGCTGTTGAACATTATGTTCTGTAATTACAAGATGATGGCTGGAAACTAGAAAAGTAATCTGTAAAAGATCCCTGTGTACGTGCTCTGTTCTCTAAATTTTCCCCTAAGCTTCTGCTATTTGCTGCTGTTGGGGACAGAATATTGAGCTAGATGAATAGGAATTACTGAAAAAGCCTTCATTCTCTTACTTTACTTTTGTTTTGATGATCACTCAAGCATGTACTGATGAACAAATTCAAATGTAACTAGTTGAGGGGAGAAGTTTTCTTTTTAAACAAATAAGAATTTATTTTTTGAAATAACTAAGAAAAGAAACTGGATTCTGCTCATGAATAAAAATTCTTTGTCTGCATACTGGTCTTTTGTGTTATATCTTTCATTTTCTTACTGGTATGACAAAATTTTGGAACTGATGGAAGCAGCTGTGATTTAAACTCATAAAACTTACACTAAAACCACGGCGGGGGGGGGCTTGTTTTATTTCAGTGTCTCCTTTTCTCCTGGGTCGTGCTCTCTGGGCTGCCAGCCGTTTTACAGTGGCTATGTCTCCAGAACTAATCCAGCAGTTCCTGCAAGCTACTGTCAGTGGTCTGCATGAAACCCAGCCTCCTTCTGTCCGAATCTCTGCAGTCAGAGCAATCTGGGGGTAAGTAAACCCTAAGGGATTCCAAAGCTCCAGGGATAAGTGGTATAAATTACACTTACAAAACTGATATTTTAACATATTGATAACACTTCTGTATAGACTGTGGAAGTATTTGCTTTCAGTGAAATAAATGTCAACTTAAAAAATGTAAGCAAGCAGGTTCAAAGTAGAGTAGCTCTAATGAGGAATATGAAATTGAGATTCAAGGTTGGCTACAATAAAATGTTGTCATGGATAAAGTACCAAAGAGAAGCAGAACTAGATAGTGATGGAAAGCACAAAAATGAAACCAAGATTATTCCTGTTCAGTCACAGAGGTGGCTGAATGACATAATACAGGCTTGTGGAGCAAATTACAGCAGAATGGAATGTTTGGGGGGTGGGATGGTGTTGGCATCCTGTTTTTGTAAATAAGTTGCAAGAAGAAAAAGGGAAGATCTGTTGTATTGATTCTACTGTGAAAATTGAATATTAGTTTAAAAACAAACATGCACAAAAAGCAGGCAAATGAACTACTGTTCCCCACCCCACAAAAACTTCTTGTCTTCTATTTGCACTGAAATTATAATGAATAAAGGCAGAGACTTAGAACTTAGTCTGGAAATTGTTTTTTTTCTTCACTAGCTTACTTGTAGAACATGGTGATTAAAGACGTTGTAAGCAGTGAGTCTCTCACAGGCTACCTTTTCCCTCAAGGTTTATTTTCTTTATTGGTGGGCAGTTCTTAAGAGAGAATTGTAACTAAGAGGCAGTAGAAGCTTTTAGCATCACTTGACTCAACTCTGCTTCTGTGAACCATTGGGGATGGAATGAGGAGGAGACATAGCTAAGCTGTTGAGAGATCAAGGAATAGTAGACTGATGGGGAAAAGTCCTAGAAGAGTGAACTTAAGGAAATAGAATGTGTGGGGTGAAATAACCCCTTATATATCATCTAGTGTTAAATGTGTAAATCACTTTAATATTTTTGTATCGCACATTCCTTGTCTAGCTACTGTGACCAGCTGAAGATCTCTGAGAGCACCCATGTGTTGCAGCCTTTCCTTCCTAGCATTCTTGATGGACTGATCCACTTGGCAACTCAGTTCAGTTCAGAGGTCCTAAACCTTGTGATGGAGACACTGTGCATTGTCTGTACGGTAGACCCAGCATTTACAGCGAGTGTGGAAAACAAAATCTGCCCCTTCACGATTGCAATATTCCTGAAGTACAGCAATGGTATGCATTCAGGTTACATTCTCAAAGTACAATTGTTTTTGCTACTGAATTCCAGTGCTGAAAAGTTAATAAATGATAATTGAATGAACACTGATTCATTCAGTGATAAAGCTAGAAGGGAAACTTGCTGCTTTGCCTATTCAAAATAGTGGTAGCAAGAATTGAGATGTGTTTGTTAGTATGTTTTAGTAAATGGTGCTTTCTCTCTTCAGATCCAGTTGTTGCATCTCTTGCCCAAGATATCTTTAAGGAGCTAGCTCAGATAGAAGCCTGCCAAGGTCCAATGCAGATGAGGCTGATACCAACGCTTGTCAGCATCATGCAAGCCCCTGCTGACAAGATCCCAGCAGGGCTTTGTGCAGTAAGTGCTACAGCGGTACATGGTCTTAGCTGGAGATGATTCCGTTCTTTAACGTATAGGATGGCTGGTCTGCAAAGAGTAGAAAGGTTGATTTTAAACTGTTTTGGAACAATGACTTTGATCATTGGTAGACGTTTCTTTGTGGAGAGACGGCAAACTGCAGGTGGGGGGAGATGCTTCCAAAAGTTAAGTTTAAACTGCTCCTCTGGCCTTCTTCCAGTCTCTGCAGTGTATCCCTAGTCATTTTGCTTTGACATAGCCATCTTTCACCAATAACAGTCTCCTCTTTTTGGTGAATGTTCTCCAATGGGGTATACAACTATCCTTGCACTTTTTTCTAGGGCTTTTTGTGATTTGTATGTCACATGTAAAAATTGCTGGACATAAATTATACAGGTTTGTCCTTTCTATAAAAAGTCAGCTTATAGAAGATTAAGCATTGACTATGTAAAATGATTGTATGGAATTAAACCCATAAGCATCTTTATCAATATGCTTATAATCTGCCTATTGATTTGTATGACTGTAACAATCACTCATGGGTAATTAAAATAAATCTAAATCAGTATAAACAAAATGGAACAAGTCAGCTAGAACAGTTCTCTGGCTGTACTGATTAGCATGCATCAGGATACCATGAAACTGTTTGCCATATTTGAGTGGTTACACTGCTTTTAATGTTTGAACTGCCTTGGGAGCTTTTACAGAGTACACCCTGCGTCCATGTCAAATAGTGATGCTGTGCGTACATGACTCCAGGGTCTTCTGATTTAAAAAATATTCTAGACTGTAAAATCAGGATGTGGTCGCAATACTGGCTCACATCCCTCCCTTTGAGGCTTGCACCAGTGGTGGGTAGTGCTGACTTAGCGTACTCTGGCTGCTGCTGTAACAGTGCTTTTGTTTGTGTTTTCCTTTCAGACTTCTATTGATATATTGACCACAGTTGTGAGGAATACAAAACCTCCTCTGTCCCAGCTCCTGATCTGCCAAGCATTCCCTGCAGTGGCTCAGTGCAGCTTGAACACCGATGACAATGCTACTATGCAGGTAACACTGGGGGGTGTGGTAAGGATTGCAGGGCTATGCAAATCCAATGCCAGTAGCTATATGTGCAGCTCCTCAGGAGTCTCTGCTAACTCCAGTTTAGCATGAAAGTACTGCTGTTCGAGGGCCTGCAATGACTTTTACTGTTCATTCCTTAATTTGGAGGACCAGAGTCAGTAAAGCAGCAGCCTTGATCTTTTTTTTATATTTTAGGGCTCTGGAGCACATAAAAACCCTAAAAAACAATACCCAAAACCCAAACAAAAAAACCAAAGCCTTATTGCTTTTCTTCCTCCATCACCACACCTAGGAATGGCAGAGGCTGTCTTCAGGAACACACTCAGGTATAGGGAAGCAAAAGACCTCTTGTGCAGAAGACCTCCTAGAACTCCTACTTCTAACAGTTTTATCCTGTACTCACATAGGTGAGAAGGGGAGGGCAAACTGCTTTTTGTCTGAGACACGTATGGGATGGAGGGAGAGCAAGGATTCATCTCAAACAGCAGTAGTGCCTGAGCTGTGCTTGTTGGCAGGCTCTGCTATTACCTGATGATGTCTTTAGAGTATTTAAGGAAGAAAGAAAAAGCGTCAGAGGCTAAAAGTGCAGGGTGCCTTTTCATTCCAGGTACTAGCTGGCATATAAATAATAAAGCTGGTTTTATTCCTTACATAAGGAGCTTTATAGTGCCAGCTATGCTTTGCTGTGTGAATACAGACCATAGAAATGGCTTTCCCTAAACAACATACCAGTAAGAAGTGGTTGGACACCAGCACGCTGGTTGCTCTGCTGGATCATTGTTTTAAGAAGAATTCAAAAAGATTGCAGCTTGGCTGCTGGGTTGTGTTTTGTTCATGCTACACTTGGCTGTCTTCATCTCTCACTTGTTAGAATTTCTTGGAATTTCTCTGCGTAACAAGACTGGCACAAAACTGCAGCTACTTTAGGTTGTCTCTGTATTTAGAACATGATATTCTCGAGAGCTTCCTGGGCAGTGAAGAGTTTTGTACTTGATAATGAACTGAAGTCTGTAGAAATTATTTTTAAATTTAGGCACTCATTTTACTGCACATTAGAGAGCTTGGATCTTTGACAGATGCTACCAGTTTGCCCATTGTTTTCATCTTGGTTAAAGATCTTTTTGGGGTGATGAATGGAGATGTCTTCCCACGCCTGCCGCTCCTTTACCTAGAAACAGAAATTCTAACATGATAATGTTCTTGTTTAGAATGGTGGCGAGTGTCTGCGTGCATACGTCTCGGTGGCACTGGAGCAAATTGCACAATGGCATGATGAGCAAGGCCACAATGGACTGTGGTATGTGATGCAGGTGGTGAGCCAGCTTCTAGATCCAAGGACCTCAGAATTCACCGCTGCCTTTGTGGGCAGGCTGGTCTCCACTTTAATTTCGAAAGCGGGAAGTGAACTGGGAGAGAATCTGGACCAGATCCTGAGAGCCATCCTGAGCAAAATGCAACAAGCAGAGACGCTCAGTGTAATGCAGGTGAGCAGGCTGGGCACCCAGGAGAGTAAGTAGAAGTGTCAGGGGAAGGAATTGTGTAATTTTTTTTAATTGTGTGTCTGATTATTTATGGCTATGACAATTGGAGGTTCTACATGTCTTCTTGGTAGTCAGGAAAATGCCTGCTCTGCTCCTACCGAGTTGTCTGGATTAGGGGGTAAGCCAGGTTCTTGTGTGTAAGCTTTAATGCACCTTAAATAGACCTTGTGCTTGCAAGAAGTGAACCTTTAGAGGGGACAAGAGTTACCCAAACATGGATGTTGTGGCAAAGGTAGCACATGTTTTCAAGTGTTTTTGTGCTGCATTTGAAGGATAAATCCCTGGGAATTGAGACAAGGTGAACTTTTGGTGGATGGGAGGTGTAGTTGGCCTGCATCAGATGAGAGGCCAGACAAGAGCATGACCATCTCTTCTCGTCTTGACCTATTTCTAGTGGCACACTTTTATGGAATGATTTTATCCCAGTGGTCTTCATTCTCTCCCCTATCATTCTTGTCTGTGCCCTTAATGTAAAACATCTAGTGATGGCTGCCCTAATTCCTCAGCAGCAGCTGGGGGAAGGCATTTGCTGGCACTGTTGACAAGTTCTGCTTTCTGGCAAGATCCCACCTTTGCCCTCACTGTGGCACTTGGCTGAGGCTCACTCTGCCCTAACCCTTTTATCTCGTGTATTTCTCGTATTTTTGTGTGTGCATTTTTCAAGCCAGCACATGGGGAATCAAGCAGGCCATTCAGATGTCAGCACAGATTTAATCTTAAAGCCCTGATTTTTTAATTTTTTTTTCACCTCAGAAACACTGTTGATTCTTAATTGTTCAGAATGGCTCTCGCTTTGCCTATTTTTGGATTTAAAAGATCCAGAAGCTTAAATCTGAACCTGTCACATGAAGCCCCTGTAGCCAGGGAAATAGAAATGAGCCTTTCATAATGCTGAATGTCTTCCCTGTGCTCGCCTGAAAGATGAACCTCTGAAGGTGGGCAGCTTTTCCTCAGGGAAGCGTACAGGGATGCCCTCAGACTTGGAGGCAGACATTTAGACATATGCAGCATATGAATTCTACTCCTGGTCTTTAAGACTCAGACTGTAAAACTGCATCTTGGGGGGGAAAAAAAAACCCCAAAACAGGAAAAAAAACAACCCCAAACCCACCCAAACTTGTAGTTGTTTCCCTAAAACTTGTGTTCAAAGTGCACTCAGAATTGGAAAAGTGCTGCTAAATTATGATGTGATGATGTGGGAGAAGTGTGGTCCTGTGGGGGAGGTGATGATGGGAAATCCCTGGGGTGAAAGGGGAAAAGAATATGGGTTTTGGCTCTGGACCAATAACTTCTGTTCCTTATCTTGATAATGAGACACGTTTCTGCTAGATATGCACAGATTTAGAGCTCTGTGTATAGAACCATGTGAACAGCTTCTGATCCATTGAGCAACCTACGGCAGTTGCAGTGTCTGAGTGTTGCCATATGATATTTTTGCTAGTCAAAAGTCAACTGCAACCTCTTAAATTTTTTAAATAGCTTTTTTATCTTTGCTTTAGGAGGGTTTGTTAGTTTGGGGCATGGGTGTGAGTAAACTTATTATGGTGAGGGATAAATACTGCTGTTGACTGTAGTAGTTTATTGCCTGCTTTTGTAGCACAGAGAGTCTTGCAGAGGGTTATACTATCTCTTCCTCTTGGGGTTGGTAAGCACAGTCTCTAGTCTTGCAGAAAACTCAGTTACTTGAATATTTGATAAAACATTTTCAACTATTAAATTATGTAGAGCTAACATTTCCTTTCTCCTTCTGTAGTCCTTGATTATGGTGTTTGCTCACTTGGTTCACTCACAACTGGAACCACTCCTAGAGTTCCTGTGTAGTCTCCCTGGACCAACTGGCAAGCCTGCCTTAGAGTTTGTAATGGCCGAATGGATGAGCCGGCAGCACTTGTTCTATGGGCAATATGAAGGCAAAGTCAGGTAGGATGTTTTCATAAGCAGGATCCATGCATTAACATTAGCTGACTGATCATCCCATTTCAATTACATGCACTGGGTATGAGAGAAAGGGAGCTTGTTCAGACTGGGATTAGTGTGTGACAGCGTCGGATAGAATTTTTTCCTGCGCTGTCATTTTGGCTCATGAGAGCCGTGGTAATTGGAGCAATCTCTGATCTTTCTCTGAGTGCTCCTCTTGCTGCCTGGTGTTTCTGTGCTGGAACAGGGTGATCCAAAGGGGAAAAGGGGGGGTCTCTTGCAAGCACAGGAGTGCTTTTGAGGTTGAACCTCTGTGAATGGGATGAGAATAGCTTCCAGACATGATATTGCCTTTATAGAATACTGTAGAGTTTCAGGGCATTGTAGAGTGTTTCCTAAGAGAATCTGGTGATTTCTTGTTGATTTAATTATGTCTTAAAAGTCAATAAAGAAACAGTTTTCTCTCCCTTATGCTGTAGGAGCACATTTGTGTTCCAGTGGAGGCTGAGTACTATATTCCTAAGCATGAAATGCTCTGTATTAATTTAAATTTTGCTGCAGCTGCTGTGTCTGATTTTTCTGGAAATGTGAAGCCTAACGGACCACTCTTAGGGGTCTCACCAGCTGTTAACTCACTTCTTAGTAAGTGTTGGTGTGTTATTATTATAAGGCAGTCAAATAGCCTGTGAAATAAATAATAAGAAAAACCATGTTTAAAATAGAAGTTTGTGAATGATCATGCAGAACAAGAGAAAGTCTGATTTGGGGATCTCGTGCTGTTTTCGGTCACACTTGGTCCGTTTCATCCCTAGGAGGGATGTTCATCCTCATTTTGACAGAGCAGAGTTGTCTGCAGGATCCCGAGACTGATTATGGCCACAGGGAAAAGCCAAGGCTGATGCTCATGATTAAGGTTAAACCTTGTCGTTTGGTGCTGTCTCCATATTGTCCAAGATTAGAGCTATTTGTGTACAGATGACTTGGCAGGGATCCACACTATATTAAACGCTTTGATTTGGGTTATTTACGGTGATGCTTATTGTGCATTAGAAAATGCTATGTGCTTTCTGCATACTGAAGAAAAGTAATGCCTGCTCAGAGGACCCTCTTGTTTAGAATTAGTTAGTAAAAGGAACATGAAGATAGCTGACATCTTCTCTGCACATCAGTCCCCATGTCTGTGAGTGGCAGGTTGAAGAAGTAGCTATTTGCTCTTGACTTGCATAATCAAAGGAGGGGAAAACTTTGGGCAACGCAGGGGTGGCATGTAAGATCTGGGTTCACACCAGCAGTATGAGACCTCAGAGCCATAGTGTGGGAGAGAAAGAGGGTGTGAAGTGAAAGCATGAAAAGAGCGGATTCCACCGAACTCCGAAACATCCGTTTGAGACTCATGGAGCCAGGAGAGAGGGTTGAGTGCCAAGTGTAAATTGGTGGCCTTAACCTAGTAGTAACTCTGTAGTCAGAGTCATCTTCAATATGGCTTGAAAACAGCCTGGAACTGGAGGAGGTTTGAAAGTGTGGCATAGAAGTCTGAGCAGCAGAGATGGAAAGAACACATGAAGATACTGAGAGAGCAAGCTAGAAGGTCTGAGCGTGGCTGAGCTGTGAAGGACCAGAAGTTAAAAAGCTTTGAGACTGAAGAAAAGTAGAAGAGATGTTCATGGCTGCATGGCAGGAGAAATAGGAAAATTCTGTAATGCTTGTTCTTGGGAAATGTATAGAAAAAAGGGAATCTGAATGTCTGCTCTGGAGATGTGTTCTCTATTCTTCTCACTTCATTGTTCTCGATTCTTCTCACTTCGTTGTGAAAGCCAAGCAGTTTAGAAACATTCTCATCTGTAATTTTCCTATTCCCTGCTCCCCAGCTCTGTAGCATTGTGTAAACTCCTTCAGTATGGCATCAACACAGATGACAAGCGACTTCAGGACATTAGGGTAAAGGGAGAAGAAATATTTAATATGGATGAGGGAATACGGACACGATCGAAGTCGGCCAAAAGTAAGTAATAATTTTGCTGGTTTTAACATTCTCTTTTTCTCTTAGTAGATGCTATGAAAGGCCATAAAATAGATCTTGCAGATCACACAAAGCTGTGGGAGATACTTCCTACAGAAGGTGCATGTTGTTTTTTAGAGCTAATACATACATCATGTACTTAACGTATCCACTCTTTGCTTTAATTCTGCCAAAGGCTGATTTGGAAGACTACTGCTGTCTCCAATTTAATATAAGTGAATGAGGTTCACTTTATATGGGACAGGGAGTTATTCACTGCTATTTTGCGTCATTCTGTTCCATCTAATGAGATAGAATTGAAAATTTCATGACGCCTAGTAGCTTCTTTGAGAGAAAAGTATGTTTAGTGAATACAGAGATTTAAAAAAAAAAAAAAAAAAGCTTGGTTCTGTAGTTGTGGGATAGGACATAAAGGCTGTACTGATCCAAACTGGAGGCCCCTTGAGGCAGTCTGTGCTCCTCAAGCCTTCAGCTGTGGTAGGCTCGGGGGATTTGGAGTGGTACAGTAACATTTAGTAAAGGAAATAAATAGGGGAAAGCACTAGGAGTTTAAGAGGTATGTGGTGGTCACAAGACCTGCTACCTTATTATTCTTTGCTTAAAAAACCCACCAAACAGCACAAACCAACCAAACTCAGATGTTGTCTAATCAGATAGAAGAACAGTAATTGCTAGCATTTGAGCACCTAAAGAATTAAAACTAGTGCTCCCAGTTTCTTTATTTGATAGGATCTTTACTTTTGCAATTAAGGACAAAAACACTGTCCCTGTGGAATAATTAGGCCTTGCAAGAGCCCTGATGAGGAAAAGTTGGAGCTTGCAGTGTCTTAGAAAGGGTAGAGCCACATGTAGGAGTGCTGCACTGCTCATTTACTTGAAAGCACTGCCAGATGTGCAACAAAAACTTAAGAGGAATGCTTAATGAAGTAATCTGTAACTGATTTCATTGAGTAGACTCCAATTAACTCAGCTGTGAAGATTTTAACTATGCCTTCTCTTCATATAAAATACGCAAGACTTGATATTGTAGTTAAGATCTTTGGGAATCTAGCTGTGAAGGTATATGGAAAGAACACTGGGGGTATTTTGTCAGTCCCTTTTTCCTCCCAACCTGGAAGTTTTTGCTCATTTGTGAGCATTTTAAATGTATGGTAAAATTAAAAAAAAAAAAACCACAAAAAAACCCACAAAAACAAACACCACAGGAAAGGCCTGTTTTTAACAACTTTTTATTAAAAATAGTATGAATATATCTTTTTCTTCTCTTATAGATCCTGAACGCTGGACAAACATTCCTTTGTTAGTAAAAATCTTAAAATTAATAATAAATGAACTCTCTAATGCGATGGAAGCAAATGCATCTAGACAGACAACTGCAGATTGGAGCCAAGGTAAAATACTGGGTTTGCTTTTCCTCTTTGCATGGCTTAAATCTACTTTGTAATCTCTTCAGAAGCATTTATAGTAATAAGAAACTCACAATAGTAAATAGTATACCTGTAATTACAAAGGCTTAAATAGTGATCCAGAAGATAAAATCAGTCAGTGTTGTGTATTCTTAAAACTGAAAATTATTTTGGGGCCAGTTTGGAAGATGGGATCTGACCATATGCTAATAAAATTATCCCTTCTTGGTGTATCTGGTTTGCCTTTCCTTTTGCCTCCCTACTTTGGGTATCCATTCTTGCAGCTGCTTTTTGCTTAGCTCCAGTTCTTGAGTTACTTGTTCCAAAGGGATGGTAAAGGTTGCAGGTGTTTCCCTTCATCCACCTACACAAGCAGGGATGTTTGCCTAAAAAGTGTACAGTTCCCTGTATAGTGATTGACAGACTGGACTTCTTAGATTTTGTTTACTTCTAGAAAGTTTTGTTTTATCAACAGATGATTCAAATGATATGTGGGAAGATCAGGAAGAGGATGAGGATGAAGATGAAGGCTTAGCAGGACAGTTCTTATCAGATATTCTTTCCACAAACAAGTATGGTAAGTATCAGCTTTAAAGTGCTTACTCAAAGCACAAATAGAGTAGATGACATCCTAGTCAAAGTTTTCTTTTCCTTGACAGCAGCTCAACAGAGACTGCAGGCAAGGGGAAGGAAATATTACTCTGGAATCTCGCATAAGGACTTTTTTCTGTAAGAGAGGGACATGCCTTTGAATAACGCAATGATTAAATAACTGCATTTGTCACCTGAGAGTTCAAATGCTGTGTAGGCTTCATGTTGCTGTGAGGTTCATGCAAATATTTCTTCAAAAGAGAAAATTGATGCCTAAAGATGTAGACATGACCTTGGAATGACAAGGTCATAGCAATGGATGAGTTTGTTTGTGGAGTGACCTTGAGAAATAATAGCCGCATAAAAATGGAGCGGGTATAATATCTCCTTTCCTCTGCTCTCCAGTTTGCATATGAGAGAACCTTACAGGCAAATATAATAAGGAAGACTATTTATATTAGCACAGAATTGGAAATGTGTCACCCTGACATAAGGTTAAGGCATAAGATAATAGTGCACATAACTAACAAACCTGCTTGTCTAGTATCCCATGTATGATCGTCTCACCTGTGTGTTCCTTGAAACTCCCACTATGACCCTTCTTGTTCTGGGGTGTCTTGTTTTCTAATCATCTAAACTTAGGGAGTGAATATTTTGCATACAAATTTTTTTATCCAGCAGTGCTGAAACTATTTCATTTTGGATCCTTGGATTTCAACAGTAGTCTAATAGAATACTTCCTGAGATATTTTGCTCTGTTTAATGTTAAAACCTGCTGATTTGCCTCTGACAGATGAGGATTATTATGAAGATGATGAAGAGGATGATCCAGATGCATTAAAGGACCCTCTTTACCAAATAGATCTCCAGGTGATGCTCTAGAACAAGTTTTTTTAATCAGATTCCTATCATTCTTTATAAACTTAATTTTTGTACGTTTTATTTTAACAAAACTGTAAACGCCAGTTATTGGTTGATGTCCTGAATGTACTCAGTTCATTGAAATTACTTTGGAAAGTGCCGAGTATCCCAAGAATGCCTGGAGCTATTTTTCCTTATTGGTTCAGTATCTAAAAGTTGGAAATGTGAATGAACAAAACTTTTTGAACAGAGGGAGATGAGACTTTTCTGCCCATGAGCTTCACAGCTATTTGCCGAAGTCAGAAGTAGATTGGAGACTGAACACAACAGAATTTCATACTCCGCTGGGAGATGCTCCCATCCAGTCACAGCCCCTGTATGATACTTTGCTTCTGCTTTTTACCACTGCCTGGCAGCAGTTTATCAGCCCATCCCCTCTGCTGCCACCCTTCCTTCTGCATCGCTTATCTGTTCCCTGCAATCCCTTTTTCTTACTTGGTGCATGTTGAGGTTTATCTTTTGACACAGGAAAGAAACAGAATTTCCAAAGTGACGTGATGCTAACTGGGTCTTTCTGTCTTCCTTTCAGGCCTATCTCACTGACTTCCTCTGTCAGTTTGCGCAGCAGCCCTGCTATGCAATGTTTTCAGACCATCTCAATGAGAATGAAAAGCGAGTGTTACAGGCCATTGGTATATAAACCCTCGAGAAACCATCCTGATCATATCTGAACAATATTTTTTTGGCTTATTCCACGTTTTATGATTAAGCATAAAACATTTTCCAGTGTCTACCTGCTTGTTACAAGTGGATGATGGCCTCGTTGCGATGTTTTGAGCCTCATCTTAACATGAATCTGTTAAGGGAAGGAATACTAAGAAAGCAGCAAGGACAGAAAACTGTAGAGCTTTGCACATTGGTCTCACCATGGGAGCACTTTTCATTTTCCACAGTAACTTTCCAGGAAGTTCTTGAAGATAAAAAAATGTGTCCTTAATATTTTTAAAAGCAAACTGTCTCTACCTGTGAAGAGGCACTTAACTGGGTTTCCCACAGCACAGTTGGACAGAGAAAGGAATTGGGTCGCTTGCAGATTGCTTGGATGTATCTTGAGAAATTGGAAGGTTGTCCCTCTTCACGCTCGCATAACACATACAGGGTAAATATCTTGATCTTACGGCGTGACTTCTTTTTATAGAACTATAGACTCTTTTATCAGAGATGCCTGAATGGTATGGAACGTGTTTACAGGAGTTTGGATGGGAAGCTGAGACAATAAAACTGAATGCATATCTTCTTTCCTGTTGTGGATGGGGCTTTGTCACTCACATCTGCTGTCTAGTCCCATGGGAGCAGTTTACTAATGCTTTTGTGTGCACATGCTCAAAGGAAGCTACCACTTAAATTTCTGTCCCTGTGGCATGTGGCTACTAAAGACTTTTGGAGGAGCCACAATTTTTAAGGGGAAAAAACCTGATTGTATTTAACATATTTGCTCCGTGACAGCCACTCTGAACTACTTTGCTTCCTTCACACTCCTGTGTGTATTTTTATAGAGTGGTAAAATAACATTTGCAAACTGATTTACCCATAAGAACAGCGTGATGTATTTCACAACACCTCTCTGCCTTTGGTTCCCCCTTGGGGAAAATGAAAATAAAACTATTAAAATGTACATTGGTATCCTTCTTATAAAACAGATTTAAAAGGAACTTGCACTTGTTTCCTGAAGTCACTTTTTTAAGACCTATTTCTCCTTAGGAAGCTTTCTGTATGTGCACCCGGAGGATGTTAGGGTATTTCACAGGAGTCATCTGGGCAGAAAGGGAGTCCTGTAATGGCTGCATCTTCTTCTGCTTAAAAGAGAAAGGCTAACCCATTATAGAGTTTCCTTTCTTAAGAAAGGTACTTGCTGTTCCTTTGTGGAATAATATGCTTTGAAGTTGTATCTAAAAAATTCCAAAGAGCTGGAGTAATTCTGTATCTTACTGGTCTAACAGAGTATAGCTTTTCACTTCTTTACCGGGAGGGGATAATGAATTAACTTTTTAACAGACAAAAATGGCACAATTCATTTGGCACATGTGGGGAAAATGGTAAAATAACCCTAAATTCTAAAGCAGACTTTGCTCCCCTCTCCCACCCCAACCCCTTATGTGCCTGAGAGTGGGCAGAACAAGAGGGAATCTCCACCATTTGCTGCAGACTGATCTGACCTGTCCTCGAGTTTTCAGTGGTTTTGTGTGAGAAGCAGAATTTGAAGCCTGATTTTTGTGTGTGTGCATGTATGTATGTGTGTGTCTAACAAGGCATAAGTTCTCATCAAAAACTTCTATGCAGCTGTGTCACGGTATCTTTCTTCCCTGTGGACTCTCTGGTGTATAAGAATGTATAGTTAAACTTTGTGCCATGTCCTTCTCTTCAGTGGGAATGCTGTGGTTCTGTCTTCTACCTAGACGTTATTTTTGGTTTTTTTTAAAGTCTATTAGGAATTTTGTTTTGAGGCATTTGTGTGTCTCAGCTCTCACTGAAAATGGCCAAGAAGTTAAACTAAGCAGTGCAGTCTCTTGAGGAAACCAAACTAGAAATAAGTGGCTGCAGTGGTGTATCCTGATAGCTGTACAGGAAGGATCAAGTGAGCGTCCTCAGTGTGACGGGTCCCAGCCCTGGGAAGAGGTAGGACCATCTTTTTTTGCCCCATGCATTGGCAGCAAGGCTCAAAACTTGAGCCCTGTACAAAAGTCATCCCTTCTTGGAGGTAAGTTAATACCAAACATCTGGAAGCATCTAGGTGTGTTTTAGGGTATCAGTTGTAAACAGAGCACGTTCAGGTCTAGTTAGCCAGGGCTCGTGGTAGAGGTGCTAGCAGGGTTCTTGTGATTTCTGGTGGGGGTTAGTATAGACTGGTGTGTGCCTTAGTGGTGCTTGCTTTAGTTAAGTTGAGTGGTGGCTTTAAACAAGACCATGAAAAATCAAGAGCAACCTAGTACTACTGATACCGTTCCTCATCCTGAGCTGAGAAATCAGAGGATTTCTTTGCGATTGCAAGGTCCCAAAAGTAGATGGGCCAGTGTCTTCTAGAGTTCTTGTAGGAGCTCTTCAAGTGTGTTGGTTAGAAACTGCTCTTTGATTTGCAGGTATCGATGGCTTTTCCAGGAGTGTAGCTGGTGAGATGGGAAAGATTGGGGGGTGAGTGGCTTTTGGAGACTAGGGCTCTGCACTCTCCCTCCTGCAGCATCAGCTCACATGCTGCAGCCTGGGCAGGCCAGGCACGGTGCCACTGCATAGGAGCTGGGATAAGGTATGGAGGTTGGGACCAAGCCTGGATATGGTGGGCACAGGAAACAGCATAGCTGTGCAGCGCACTATTGCAAGCAAACTCATGGTGTGCAGGATGTTTTTTGGTGAGAAATACTGTGACTCGGGCTTCCCCAAGAAAGAGGCCAAATAGGACGTGAGAGCAGCAGTGCACAAGGGAAATGGGTTGGAGGACCTCTGCCTGGTGCTACTGGTGCTCATGCTGATGTAACTCCTTTACCCTTCTGCTTTCTCATTGTTCTTCCTCCTAACGAAATTCTGAATGCTCCGTGATGTATCTTTAAACAAGATTTTTTTTGCTGGAGAGGTGTCAGCTTTGCTGGAACAACTGACCTGTAACAAGGTGATTGCTCAGCATGAAAAATGCTGGACTCTACGGAGATGCATCTGAGCCTGGTTTCGAGGTGCAGGGCCCTCCTCCTGTTGTCTACTGTTGAGAAGAAACTAAACTAATACTCATAAGCTTACTAACACCGTGTTAGGAAATACAAGCTCCCTGTTAAACTAAATCAAAACTGAAGGGCGGGATGCAGGCTACCGCACACCCGTGTTCTGCACGCAGCTCCTCCATGGGTAGGAGCCCACAGTGTTTTTGCGTACTGGGTATCATCTTGCTGGACTAGCGCAGAGCTCCGCTAGCCCCAGGCTGTAATTGAACTCGTTAATAGCTCAGCTATGACTCTGGAACAAGACTTAATGCGTATTCATGAGTACTGTTCTTGGTTTGGGTTTTTGTATTAACAAATAAACTCTTTTAACGGATAAACCTGTCTGGTTTCTGACTCTTGCAGAGGCGGCCGCACTGCCGCCTCAATCCCAGCGGGCTCGCGGCC